AGCGCGCCATCTGTTATCAAATTACGAAACTATTTTAGACGCGTAATATTATTTTTAAAAGAAAACAATTTCTACTTCCCTTACATTGCAGTATGGGCAGTAGAAATCGTTTTATTTTAAAAAGAATATTACGCGTCTAAAATAGTTTCGTAATGTTCCATGTTAATATTATAATCCCTCAGATAAAATTATAAATAAAATACAATATACGCTGAGGGAAGAGAGTTTCTTAAAAAGAATTGTCTCTCAACGAATTGTCTTTTATTTTTATGATTGTTTCATTTTTAATATAATAGATGATATTCTTTGTATATTAATAAACACGGAATTAGAGTAAAATCATAATATTTTTTTAAAATTAAGTTTTTTATATACTCACCTTTTTGTGACTGGACGCTCGTGAACATGAGGAGACAAGAGAACACCAAGGCCAACAGTAGGGGCTTCATCTTGGATCAAGAGTTTGAAGTACAACACCTGGAAGTAACAATACAGCTATTGATGATGATGAATATATTGAAGAGACAAACATGAATATTTTGTCCTCCTTTTCAATCATTTAAAAGAGTTTTTTTCATTTATAAATAGTTGTACAAGAAGTTTTTACAAGAAGTAAGTGGCGTGAACAGACAGAGCCTATCCGTATTGGTGACCTAGTATTTCTTGTGGACGAACAACAACCGAGGAACATGTAGAAGCGTGGCTTCATATCGGATGTGCATCTTGGAAAAGATGAACAAGTTCGAGTGGTGAAGGTTACCACGAAGAAGGGCGGTAACGATGTCATCTACGAGCGCCCAGTCTCCAAGGTTTGCCTACTTGGACTAAAAATGGACCTACCAGATCAAAAACAAAGAGATTCATGGAGACCTGCTCCATTTCTACGGGTACAAAAAAACTCTCTATTCGCTATTGAAGAAGAAATACAAGTCAGGGAAAAAGAGATTATTTTTATAAGAGGACGTCCGTTCCAGTCTTCGGGCAAGATGTCTTTCTAGGTGAACATTAAATACTGTTTTGACACATTCAATAAAGAATCTAGGGTTCGGTTTCTCTTCACAATTCTTTTATTTTTCCACCTTGAATTCCGGGCTAATTGGCCCATCAAATAAGGTCTTCTAGCCCCAACATGGCTGCAGAACGCGAACTGCTGGCAAGGAATCTTAAGATCTGGCAGTGGAGATGTCATCGCAGGGGTGGAGGAAGCTGGAGAGGTCAGGGAAACAGCCCTCAAGTTCCAGGACCTCCTGCCTCCTCAACTGGACCACATCCCTGCTTCTCACTGCATTTTTCCAGATTTCGAGCTAACATGCCCTTTAACACGGAGTAGTACTTCTGGATCTCCGTGTTAAAAAGAAAGTTAACCCGATAGCTTGAGAAATAAAAGAAATGAGAAAAGAAACCAAACTCTAGACTCCTTATTAATTATGTAAAAATGTAAAAGCAAGGAATTTTTTTATAATAAATACTGTATGTTATGATGCATTATAGCGCACCATCTGTTATGTAAATTCGAAACTATTCTAGACGCGTATGATTCTTTTAAAAATAAACAATTTCTACTGCCCTTACTGCAATTGAAAAATTAATAGAAGGGCCTGGCTCATCAGTGGTGAACTCTCCCAGCGATTTCGCCAGTTTAATCTACCTTACCGCTGTTATATAAAAGCAAGATAGAAAAATGTGTTTAATTGTGTGTTTAATTAAAAAAGAATATATTGGATCAAAATATTATTTATTTTACCAATATTTCAGTTGGCTGTACGCCAATCTTTTTCAAGGTATTATAACATATTAATGTGTGAGTCAAAAGGCGATCCATTAATTAAGATTATATAAAAGGGCGTACCTGGATCTGTAAAGAAAAAAAAACAATTTTTTATCAAAATATTTCGAGAGATTGCTCCCTCTTTTTTTTTTTTTTTTCTTTACAGATCCAGGTACACCTTTTTATATAATATTAATGTGTGTCAATAACAAACTCAGCACCACATAACGTCAATAGAATTAAGTTTAGAAAAAAATAGTTTTGCTTATATTCAATTAGATTAATCAAAGCTTTTAAACTCGTTAAAAGTATAATAAAGAAACATATCCTCGGAGATTTATATTTGATTAATCTAATTGATGGAGAGAGGATTGTAATACTTATATTCAATGGGGAGAAACAAAATATAACAAAATATTTTTAAAACTTAATGCTGTTGACGTTATGTGGCGCTGAGTTTGTTGTTGACACACTTTAAAATGTTATAACACCTTGATAAAGGTTAGCGTTTAGCCAACTGAAATATTGGTAAAATAAATTATATTTTGAATCAATATATGTCTTTTTAATTAAAGATGTATTTATGGATTGCTCTATTTTCAAAATATATGTATGTGTTTATCTATTTATAAAACATTTTTTTCTCAAATTTATAAAGGATTTATATGCGTAAAAAGAAAGGAAATGCAGAAAACAAAAGAGAAAGAAGAGAGACACGATACTTACGTGAGTCAACTGAAGGCCAACTTCCCAGACTGACGAAGATAAAGCCACCTGGTCGCTTTTCCAAGAACGGCGGAATTCCGGATGGTGGAAGCATGAGCCAACAACTTGCAACTACGTCTTCTGTTTGCAACAAACTGGTTGTTTTAAGTGGCAGCCCATTGTGCAACTTCCACCCGTCATACCGGGTTTAAACAATTGACAATTTAAACAATTATATTGATTCTTCTAATCAATTGTTACAAAGGTGGATAAAATATATAATAAGATAGTAAATAAAGAGTAGATAAAATGTAGGAGAATATATATAGTTGTGTATGTACAAATTTCTTCAGCAAGGAAGAATTCCCCACCTTGAGAGAGTTCTCCTCCAGACAAGGAGGGGGTCTTTGTATGGGAATATATATAGTTGTGTATATGTACAAATTTCTTCAGCAAAAGAAGACTTCCTCACCTTGAGAGAGTCCTGCTCCAGACAAGGAGGGGGTCTTTGTAGGGAAATATATATAGTTGTGTATATGTACAAATTTCTTCAGCAAGGAAGTCTTCCCCACATTGAGAGAGTCCTCCTCCAGACAAGGAGGGGTCTTTGTAGGGAAATATATATAGTTGTGTATATGCACAAATTTCTTCAGCAAGGAAGTCTTCCCCATCTTGAGAGAGTCCTCCTCCAGACAAGGTCTTCTTGAACACTCCTCAGTTCCGCTCGGAGGAAGTACCGTATTTAGAGATTGTTAGTCAGTTGTGCAACAAACTTCAAAATATGTTTCCAAACAATTATCAAAGAAAAAAACAGTACAAATGTGAAATCGTGCAGGGATCAAGTGGATAAATTAAGAAAAAGGCATCTCCTTATCGTGCAACTGAAATTTGCTGATGGCATTGGTGGATTGATACCCATTCAATGAGTATTTGGCCAATTACGGAATAATTAAAAATCAACGGATAGTTTATATTTATTCCGACAGATGGCACAAACCATCAGAAACTTTTATTTGCACTACAAGAGGAGATGCCATTTTCTTAAATTATTTAAGATTTGAATTCAATATATCATTACATTTACAATTATAATCCAAGATAAAATTGTGAAAAGCGTTTGAAAACTACAAACATTTTCTTACAATGAGTTTTTCTTTTTATTTTAAAATACAAGCTTTCAAGCGATAATAGCTCTTTCCAATTTAAGCCTGTTGATGAACGATTATCACTTGAAGTTTGCATTTTGAAATGAAAATAAACTCATTTTGAGAAATATATATAGTTTTTAATTTACAAATATTGCCTCTACAGAGACACCTCTCTATAAAGGAGAATTTTCATCGTCAAAATTTTATATTGTTTCAAATTACCTGCTTTTCGGTAAGAGGACAACTCTCTAAACGACACTCTTGCTCTACAAATAGGTTGTGTATAGAAAGAGAGAGAGAGAGAGATTGAGATTGAAACTGATTTATTATAACGTTCATATAAGATTATATAAGGTTAAATACATAAAATAAATAAATAAGATTAATAATGATAGATATATGAATAAAAATTGATATAAATAGATAAAATATTTGATAAATATACATATATATATATAAATATATATACAAGGTCTTCATTGGTGGCGCCCACCGCGAGAAAGACTCCGCCACCGATGAACTGCGAGAGTTCTTTCCCACAGAGTGGGCAGGTCGATGTGTTGGCTGGCATTACCCAACTCAAGACCAAGATGGTACTTGTAGAGATAGGGAGAGAGAGATGTTTTACTGTATTTCTACTATTCTAAACACAAATGTACGTTAATTATAAGGCGATAACCTTGAAAACCATTTATGAGATTCCGCTCTACATTACAGTATATATAAGCAGAATCGTCCAATACAATATTAGAGTTCTAGGAAGCGATCTGGTGGATTATATTGGCGAAACCGCTGGGAGAGTTCACCACTGATGAGCCAAGCTCTCCCAATATTTTTTCATCGCAGTAAGGACAGTAGAAGTTTTTTTTTTTTATTTAAACAAACATTCGTGCTTTTAGGTGCTTCCATTTCTTACATATGTACGTGTTCATAGTTTCTCTATAAATACATTAACAATGAATATCTCTAATATTTACAGCCATATTACAATAACAGAATATTCTTTTAAATTAAACTAGAGAATTCGCTGAAGGGGTTCATGTATTGTGTCAAAGTTATGTGCCAAAATGTCTTTTAGAGGGAGATATATTCTTTTAATGGAGAGAAATTTTACCATGAATTTCCTCTAAATTTATAGACATTTTTTTTTTGCTTATCCCTAGTACACGTGGTACAGGCCATGATAATCATGGTGGGTAGTTAACGACTGCTTTTTTACTGTAAGCGCACCACATGTCTACACATGTGAAAGCAGTTCGACTTTGCACTTACAAATGTGCCAGAGCCCCGTTTGGTTACTTGCACTCGCTGGTGGGGTTGGACTTTTGCAAGAATCGGGGGGCCATTGGAGCATTTTTTTTTCTTTAAACAGAAAAAAGTGTCCAATGCGGGGATCGAACCCGGGTCGTAGTGGTCGTAAACCAAACGGTTTAACCAGCCTTCAACCGACCCCCCTTATAGACATTTAAAATATCAGAACATGTTTTTAGATTGAACTAGAGAATTCGCTGAAGGGGTTCATGTATTGTGTCAAAGACACCGATAAAACGGTGTTTACCTTACAACTCTGAACACTCGGATTTTCATGGAGAATCTCTTAAAGATTTCTTGAAAAAAGCCATGGTCCACCTGTGCTGTGTGAGCAGATGAGCTTAAATTGACTTGTTCCATTATATGTATGTTCCATATGTAAATACCTGTTTTCTTTCCTCTTTTCGTTCCCCACTTCTCCCACCCATATTTCCAAAAAAATATTTTTTCCAAATCCATATTCTTATTTTCCATAGGATTATTCAAATAATAATCTGTATATATTTACCATGTGTATAATATTCTTTCTCCATTTTTACCCCTTTGTATATTTCCCACTTTCATGGGTTTCTCCGTCTTGTAACCCCAAGGAGAATCCTCTGTAAGACCTGTGTGTCTTAATAAAGGTTTTTGTGCGTGTGTGTGTGTATTGTGTCAAAGGTATGTGCCAAAATGTCTTTTAGAGAGAGAGAAATGTTCTTTTAATGGAGAGAATTAATAGATAATAATTATAATAAACATTCTTCTCCTGACTTATAATTTAATAAATTTAATAAAATCAATAAATCATCCAGGGCTAAGTTTCTTGTATGCAATTAGGAGAAAAACTTCTACATAACTTCTCTACTTATAAATGACTGCGGCGTATAATTATAAAGCTATACAACCAGTTTAACCGCATAAGTTTATTTTTATTTATGAAAAATCATTTTTAATTTCAAAGAGAAATAATTTAATATTTCTAACTTTTGGATGACGTATGAAAAGGTTGAATATATGAAGAGTGATGGTCTATATATGAATGGATGACGTATGGAGGGTGAAAAATATGAAGAGTAATGGCGAACGGAAAAATAAAAGTGTCCAGGAGCGGGAATCGAACCCACAACCTTCTGCTTACCGAGCAGGTGCCATGTCCACTAGGCTATCCTGGACGATATTTCTCCGTTCGTAACTAATATTTAAACTGACTAATAATACTTATAAATGACTGCGGCGTATAATTATAAAGCTATACAACCAGTTTAACCGCATAAGTTTCTTTTTATTTATGAAAAATCATTTTTAATTTCAAAGAGAAATAATTTAATATTTCTAACTTTTGGATGACGTATGAAAAGGTTGAATATATTAAAAGTGATGGTCTATATATGAATGGATGACGTATGGAGGGTGAAAATATGAAGAGTAATGGCGAACGGAAAAATAAAAGTGTCCAGGAGCGGGAATCGAACCCACAACCTTCTGCTTACCGGTAAGCGGTCTGCTTACCGGTACCTTTTCATACGTCATCCAAAAGTTAGAAATATTAAATTATTTCTCTTTGAAATTAAAAATGATTTTTCATAAATAAAAAGAAACTTATGCGGTTAAACTGGTTGTATAGCTTTATAACTTCTCTAGTTTCTCCTGTTGAAGGGCATGTCACACAGCCTGAAAGATCGAGAAATAAAATTGTAAAAGGAACTATCCTTGGATGCTTTATTGATTTTTAATATTACAAAATATTTTCTCACAATGAGTTTCTTTTTATTACAAAACGCTAGCTTTCAAGTGATAATAGCTCTTTAACGGGCTTAATAGAACAATATCGACTATATCCTACAAGAAATATTTACAAAAACATACGCTCAGCGTGGATATTTATAACTGAAATTTTAAAATTGATTTATCTCATTGTGATGAAATATTTTTTAATTTTAAAAGTTTTTCAAAATTTCATCATGAATATCAAATTAGATAATTGTAATTTTTTTGGCGATAAAAACTGTCTTGGTCAAATCTAAAAGCTTGAGGGATGAGTTTCTTTTGCAAATAACTTTATTTCGAGATTTCGGGTAACGCCCTTCTACAGGAAAATGAAAAATAAAGTAAATTAAATTATATTACACTGAGATTTAGCGAGGCAAATGTATAACAAATTATATATTAAAAATATATATATATATCAGAAATAAATTTATTTGAAAAAGAAACTCATCCCTCAAGCTTTTAGATTTGAACATTCTATTAAGGGATTAGCCTATTAAAAACTGTCTTGGTCTAGATGTTTCTACTCACAATAGTGTCCTCACCTAGAGTTTCTAGTGTACCACTGAATTTAATTGCATTATCATCAATAGATTGTGTTTAGCTAGTTTTATCTCTCGTTTTGTTTATTATATAAATATAGCAACAAAGAATATATCTAGGAACCGACGAGGGGCAACAGTTCGTGCAACTAAATCGTGCAATCGTGCAACTAAAAGTTGCTGATGGCTTGCGCCATCTATCGGAATAAATATCAACAAATAGTTGATTTTTAATTATTCCAAAATTTTCCAAATACCGTTTTTTGAATAATTAAAGCAGGTTATCTCCTGTTGGTTGAATAATAGTTTGTGCCATGCTGATGAGGGCCAACAGCCCAAAACACATACGTGATTAGCTTTTCTTGTATAATCAAGAAACGGTATTTGGCCAATTCTGGAATAATTAAAAATCAACTATTAGTTGATATTTATTCCGATAGATGGCGCAAGCTATCAGCAACTTTTAGTTGCACGATCAGGAAATGCCCTTTTTTTTTTCAAAGATTATATCATTGCTGGTTAAATTGTTCAGAAAAAAAAGTTCCGTGTCACCGTTTCGAATGCATTCTAGAAATTTCCTGGAATTCCACCCTAAGGTCATACATACTCTGGTAGTTGCACAATGGCTAGAGAAACCCGAAAAACAAATAAACAAACAAACAAACCATTCAATGGCACTACTTGTAGTGTGGATATTGTTTTACTGGGATTCAGGTTGCTAGCGGAAGAGGTCATTGTGCGGCTGAATATGAACCTGGCCTCGTGTCGAAACATATCCGCCAGACACATCCCTTTCAAGGCCTCACTTCTCCGAAATAGGATTCAAAATAGGATCTTCTATTGTTCCAAATAAACCCTATATCAGGTTTATGGATCAATTCATTGTTACCTAGCATTTGAAGGGAACCATAGAAAACTGGCCATAATACTAACCATAATCAAGATTTAGATATGATAATCAATAGATGATGATTGAAACTATAGGTCAAATTATGAGATTATACTTGCTTGTTCTGCGGTATAACTTTCATTGTTACCTACCATTTGAAGGGAACCATAGAAAACTGATTATCATCAGATATGATGGTCAATAGATTATCAATAGATGATGACTAAAACTATACGTCAAATTGTGAGCTTATACTTGCTTGTTCAGCGGTATAACTATCATTGGTACCTACCATTTGAAGAGAACCATAGAAAACTGGCCATAATACAGACCATAGGAAACTGAACATAACTAAGTCTTAGATATGATGATCAATAGATTTTGACTGAAACTATAGGTCAAATTGTGAGCTTATACTTGCTTGTTCAGCGGTATAACTACCATTGTTACCTACCACTTGAAGAGAACCATAGAAAACTGGCCATAATACAGACCATAGGAAACTGACCATAACTAATACTTAGATATGATGATCAATAGATTTTGACTGAAACCATAGGTCAAATTGTGAGCTTATACTTGCTTGTTCAGCGGTATAACTACCATTGTTACCTACCATTTGAAGATAACCATAGAAAACTGGCCATAATACTGACCATAGGAAACTGACCATAATCAAGACTTAGATATGATGATCAATAGATGATGACTGATACTATAAGTCAAATTGTGAGCTTATACTTGCTTGTTCGGTAGTACAACTATCATTGTTACCTACCATATGAAGATAACCATAGAAAACTGGCCATAATACTGACCATAGGAAACTGGCCATAATCAGATATGATGATCAATAGATTATCAATAGATGATGGCTGAACCTATAGATCAAACTATGAGATAATACTTGCTTGTTCAATGGTACAACCACTAAAATAGGAACGATACAGAGAAGATTAGCATGGCTCGTGGGCAAGAGGATGACAAGCAAACCGTGAAAGCGTTCTATGAACTTCTTTTTGTATATCTCACTCTCCCTTTATACCTTATACCTATATATGACTCTCTCACCTGGATCAGAAAACAATACACTATCATTACTAGATAGATGATAAACGAACCAAAATTTGATATTCCTATATCCAATCACCAAGACAACCAATACAAAAACCTGTTTACTACATTCAACAACAACAACAAAAATCTTTATTGAGACTTTTTGGTCCTATACAGATTCTCCGAGTAGAAGAGGGTATATACAGGGATATATGACACAGTAATAGTAACAATAATCAACAATGTTATCTACAATGTATCAAATAAGGGGAAAGAAGAAAGAAAAGCCTGGCATAAACTTATATACACACACACAAAAGCCTTTATTAAGACACACTGGTCTTATAGAGGATTCTCCCCAATTTTACAAGAGAGATAGGCCTGTGAAAGTGGGGAATATACAGAATAAGAAAAAGAAAGATTATGTAAGTATGATATATACATACACATACATATATACCACATAACAACAAGAGCCCCCATTAAAACCCAAAGTCTTACATAAGACTCTACTGCAGGATCCAAGAAGCAAAGTAAGAAAGAGATTTAAAAAAGTGAACAAAAACAAAAAATAAATAAATAATATATATATATACACTTATATACATATTCATTCAATTCCAAGTAACAGTAACGATGCCTTTTTATTCACTGCCTTGTAAAACCCACATAGATCAAATGAAAACTTTCTATCTGTTATGTAGTTTGTTAATATATCCTCAACTGTGTCCGGGAATCTATTATCCTGTTTCAAAATAAATGTTTTTCTTTCATCTGAAATACTTGTACAGTGGAAAAAATAGTGAGATATTTCGGAGTTCATAAACTTATATACAAGCACAATTGCTTGTTCTCAATAGAACAAGCATTTCCTTTTCTTAATGAACAATAATTAGTAATATT